CACGACAGGGAGTGGTGTTTAGGATGGTATGGAAAGAAAGAAATAGGAGTGGTGTTTAGGGCAAGGAAGTGGATTTTGATAGGGTTAAGGATAGTTAGTTTTAGATCATAGGTTTTTTTTATTAAGGGTCATCATCTTTATTTTTTTGAGGATTTGCGAACTTTATTGACATTTTAATTGATATATAAATATTTTTGCATATGAGTTTGTTTCCCTTTGGCACCTGTGAATGAATCATATTATACTTTTTATTTTTTTTAAAAATGTTTGGTCTTTCCAAGAATGTTGAAGATCTACATAAGATGATCCAAATGCTCCCTCTAAGAATGGTCATAAATCATAAGGAATTTACAACTAAAATTATGCATGATATGGGTCATTGCTCTCATGAATGCAAGTCATATAAGCACTAGAAAGACAAAATGGCATAACTAAGCTCTTGAATAATTCATTTTGGGATTTTATGGGGATTCTTCATTCATCACATAATATAACACTCATTGCATAACACCTGTATGAAGACCTATATTGAGCCAATTTGAGTCCACTAACTTATCCAAAATATATTAAAATTGGGGATGAAAACCTATCCTTAATGTTCTGCTTTTTGATGTAGCTAATAGTCACAAACACCTTCCAACAACCTCTTAGCTATATGCTCATCTATGTCCTTATCTAAATCTTTTTTTTATCTTTAGGGTCCAACCTCTAGGAACTAGATCTACCTGCCTCTTACTGGGGGTATCTTACTTGAAAACTCGCCTCTATATTCCTTCCAAGCTATGTGTAGAGAAAAAGTTAAAAACCATATGTGTCAGGGAGGTTTAGGGTTGAGATTTTTAGTAGAGATGAATTTGACCTTGCAAGGGAAGTGGCTTTGGAGATTCATGAATGAAAACGGTACCCTTTGATGAAGGGTGATTGAGGTGAAGTTTGGAACTATGGATAGAGGGTGGTAACTTAGAGTGTTGACTAGACCGCACGAGAGGGAATCTAGAAAAAAACATGCATCAGTAGGAACAAATTCCAAGATTGTATTAGGTGGAATAGAGGGTGGTACACTAAAGAATCGACTAAATCGCATAGAAAAGGAATGTGGAAAAAAAAATGCATGGGTAGAAACAAATTTTAGGATTATATTAGGTGGATGGTTGGCATAGGGGACAAAGTTAGCTTTTGGCATGATGCTTGGTTAAGAGGGGGATCGCTCAGAGAACAATTTTCTAGATCTATGATATTGTATTGCACAAGAATATCTAGGTACATGAGTCATATA